ACTTGACGACATTTGGATTCAGACTCGACATTGGGATTGAGACATTGGACGAGGGATTATTTGGGACCTGTACCGAAGACTTGGTGTTGACGACATTCCCATCTTCCCCTCTTCTTCGTCTAACCCCACTCCGCTTCGTCTGTGTATGTTTGAGACTGGCGCCGTCTTCCTGTGTGAGCGCCAGGTCCCTTTACACCATACGATGATGATGATGTATGTTTGGTCTGTGTTGCAACATTGATTGATCGGAGCATTGGTATATTAGCCTTCCACTGTGCTTTCTTGTACTATGTGAGAGAGGTCGGTTCTTGTTCTGATCTGCACCGTTACGGTATGCGACATTGGGCCTTGGATGTCGGTGAGGGGTGGAGTGAGCTAGAGGAGGCTGGCAGTTAGCGCATGTAATCACATTTGTCAATGTCTGTAGAGTGAGGCATTGCAGAGTAGTCTTGTGATTGTTGTTATTTTGATTGGTTGGAGCCGAATTGGAGGATTTTACCATCAACAGACTTGAACATTGGGAATATGTTATGCATGTGTGATCAGTGCCTATCACTGGTTTGTTGGTTCGAACTTCTAATCAATGCTCGGTTGTTGCCTCAATGCCTGTTCATGAGACCTCAATGTGGTTATGCATCAAGTTCTTTTATCTTCAATGTCCTTGCAGTTGTTTGGTTTCAGATTATGAGGGCTCTAGCCTAAAAGTTATTTCATAAGTTGTGAAGGTCGTTCCCTTTTTAAGTTTCCATTAGAAGTCTTCTCAAATTGTTTCTAGGGTTCCCTCGGATGTCTGAAAATGCAACTCGTCTAATTTCTCAATTTCAGTTTGAAACTGAAGGTAAACGTTCCAATTTTCTATGGCCCGTTGCAAAGGAAGCTGTTGGGCAGCACATGGCATATCCCGTGTTGATCTGTCCATACAGGTTTGGCACTTCAAAAAGGTAGGCATCATGTGTTGTTTTTACCTGATTCTTTGTACTGTGGGCAGGATGGGTTGCTGATGTGTTGATTTGTCCGTACTACCTGCATAGGTCTCAGTGACGCCTCTCTGCAATGTTCTTTGTCCAATTTCATTATCACAGGATGTACTGCAAATTGAAGGCGGAATCAAGAAACTTGAGGCAGAGGAGAGGAGGGGCACAAAGAGGAGTGCTGGCCTCACCTCATTTTTGGAAAGTGAGGAGGATGACCTGGATGTTGAGCACCTAATCGGGGAGGAGGAGAGGGAAGACGAAGAGGAGGATGCCAAAGAGGACGAATGTTTAGACTACCACAAAGTGCTCGCAGACCAGTACGAGGTAAAATAGAAGGAAAAATTAGAGCAAACGAAATGGGATAATGAAATGTAACAGTTAATGTAACAATTATGCTCCGCCCTTCATTCTCCAGCAGTACAAAGCCCCCAAGCAAGGTTGGTTCGATCTTTTCTTAGGGGCAAAAGGAAAGGATTTCAAATCTGCTACACACCAAGCCCGCCTCAACTGAGCTTTGAAGTCTTGGAAGAAGCTTGTTTTACCCATGCTGCTTGCAAGAGATGGCATGGTCACTAAAGCTGCATCTCATGTGACTGTGGCTTCAAATTGTAGCTTTGGCTACCATGTATTCTGGTTGGGGGGGGGAGCGGTGGAAGGATGCTGATGTATCACCAGCAGAATAATGATGGCAGAGAGGGTAGCTCTGTCGGGAGACAATGCATAGCTGTTAAACCACCAGTACTTGGCCCATACATCGGCCGCAGGCGCTTTTCCTATTCGGGGGCCCAGCGCCATTCATAATCTCATCAACGGCCTTTGTAGCGTTTACGACCTTCAAAAGTCGCATGGATCGACCTGCGGCCGATGTACTGGCCAAGTACTGGTCGTTTAACTGACTACTCAGAAGGGAAGCATTTTGTGCAAGTGGAATCCGACAGTTTGAAGAAAGTTGCATTCAACCAAACTGACAGTGGCTTGTGAAGACCTGCACATTCCTGACACAATGACTAAGGGTAGGACCCCACAGGACTGCGACAAACGGTTTCGGAAGTTGCGAGGCAACTTCCGAGACCCCACAGACGGATTTCGGCGTCGCGGAAGTCGTCAGCTGACCGTTTCCACTCGGTCTGCGGCCCCCTTATTCCTACGTGGCCCTGAACTCCCGTTTTCCAAAAGTTGGCCCGTTTACCTACCTCTTGGGTGCATACTCCGACACATTCGGACGGAAGTCGGGCGCCTGCAAAGCGGACATGTACTGCTCCAGTGTTCGGTCCAGCGGGCCTGAGGCCGGACAAGGGTTGTTGTCGCACGGTGACCGTTGGCCCTGGACCGTGGGACTGTGTGGGGTGGGGAGGTCGTCGTCATTTTTTGTTTTCAATTTCTGCATGCAGAACCCCATGTCCTTCTTCAGCCTGTTCATCCACTGCATTCCACCTGTTCATCCACTGCATTCCGCCTGTTCATCCACTGCATGATCGCCATGATGGTCATGAACAGCATGTCATCACCGACTTCCTCTCCTCCATTACGTTGGCGCTGATGTGCTCCTCCGCTGTCCATGTGTGCGTGGATACCGCATGCAAGAACAGGAGGAACAGCACCTCGCACTTCCAAAAATGTTGTCTTCGGACACCAACGTCACCCCCACCAACGTCACCCCCACCAACGTCAGTGAGTAGGGTGCAACCACTCATGTGCTTCGTCTGCTGAATGCTCTCAAGGGCGCGCAGTGCATCCACGTGTGCGGTGTCCACGACGATGCACTCAGAAGCTTCAAAGGGAACGGGTATGGCGTTAGCAGCTCTGCGCCTCTGTGACGGTGAAGCGGTGGACGGCTCCCCGAATCACAACGTACGGCCCAACGGCCTGAAACCCGGGACCGGGGAAGGTATGTCGCCCGCCTCCATATGGGTGCCGTGCAGGAAATGCCGCACGATTGCCCACTACCCACAGCCGCCCTTCCATTACGACCACCGACAACGGACCTGGAATGCTCTCACCGGCCCCGTCCTTTCCCAAAAAGGAAATACGCCCCGGAATTTCCTTTTTGGGTAACCGGTGCCGACTTCAGAGCAACATTTTGTGGCGGCGGTGGGGTCCCCTCTGTTTCATCGTTTCCGTTGGCGGTGGGCAGTCGGATGGAACTTGCGACTTCCGAAACCATTTGCCGCCGTCCTGTGGGGTCCAACCCTAAGGGTAGGACCCCACAGGACAACGACAAATGGTTTTGGAAGTCGCAAGGCAACTTCCCGGATCCCACAAGCCAAGAATCCCGTTGCGGAAGACGACGGGCAACCATTTTCACTCGGTCCATGGCCTCTTTATGCCTACGAGGCCCTATATTCCCGTTTTCCAATACTCGGTCCGTTTACCTACCTCCCAGGTGCATACTCCGGCGCATGCGGACGGAAGTCACAGCCCGTCCATTACAACCAATGGTAAGGGACCTGGAATGGCCTTCCAGGCCCCAACCTTTCCCAAAAAGGAAAACTGCCCCGGAATTTCCTTTTTGGGTAACCACCTCCGACGCAAAAGCAACATTTCGAGGTGGCGGTGGGGTCCCCTCTGTTTCATCATCTCCGTTGGCGGTGGGCAGTCGGCTGGGTGTCGAAGACTTCCGAAACCGTTTGCCGCCGTCCTGTGGGGTCTTACCCTAAGTTTCCAAAGAAAGTAACCAGAAAAGAAGAGAGAAGAGCTGCAAAAAGCATTCCGAAGAAAGTTCTCTTGTCGCACATATCCAGCAGCTCTTTTCCGAGTTTTTACTTTTCAAGGAAACCGCACTGGCGACGCTAGAAAGAGGCCTGGGCCATCAGACGATAAAGAAAAATTGTGCCAGCGCCGAAGGTTAGCGCTAAATCTTTGGACTGCGTTCCCTGACAGCCTCCATTGGCCCTCCAGGCCATGCGGGAGCGGATCTTCGCAATTTTCGGCGTCGCTTCTTTGGCCCATGCCGCATTCTCCAGGCCGTCGGTTCTGATACGACTTCTAGCCCGGTCAGCTTCCGTGTGAAGCTGCTCGACTACCTACGCCAGGCTCGTGTGCACGATGTCTACCACGTCTGGTTACTGCATCCCTACCGCAAACCGTATGAGCGTTTCGCTGGACGACCATACGAGCGCCCTCCACCCATCATGGTGGACGGCCATGAGGAGTTCCTCGTTTCAGACATCATTGGTTGCCGAGTCACCAACGACAACTCTCCCCATGTCGAGTATCTCGTACATTGGAAGGGTTACCCTGATGAGGAGGCTACTTGGGAGCCCCTCGAGCACTTGCAGCATGCTCGCATGTTGGTGCGTGCCTATGACCGTGCTCGTCGTGCTGGGTTGACTGCTCCTCCTCAGCCCACTGACCCTCCTCCTTCTCCCTTGACTGAGGAGACCGCTGAAGTCGAGCCCGCTCCATCTGAGGCAGACCTTCAGCAGCAGCCGGATGCTTCTGAGCATCCACAGCGCACTCGTCATCGTCCTGCTCGATACGGCGATTGACTCTGACTTATCTTCCCACGTCTGTGACTTCTCAGTACTCCATCCACTCCAGTTTTGCCACTTCAGCTCGTCGACGTTGCGCCTCTTCCTTGACGACATTCCGGACTTCTCATCATGGACGTCATCGACAGCTTCATGGACTTCGTCACGATCAGCTCTGCCTACTTCAGACGTCGTCACTCTCTTACCACCTTATCCTGTACAGTACCCTGGTTGTGTCGCATGATGGCCTCCCTTCGCCGGGTTCCTATGAGTTGGGGTCTCCCTTGGTATACGCATAGGCATCAGGACCGTAGCGTTGCCCTGGTTTCCCAACTTACGGATCCAACTCCGACTTCCCCCACCTTAGGAATCATTTGCATGATTCCCTTACCCATCACTTTTTCTACCCTCTGCTGGCCCTCACGCCCTAGTTAGGCAGCCTCGCATGCTTCATCTAGGTGCGCCTAGTATATCAGGCTCCCTTGTTCCCTTGCATGGTCGACCCTCCATAGCGGTCACCCCTTTAGTCGAGCATGACCCGCCTTGATGGTCTATCTGTTAGGGTGATTGGTTCTATTCGCTCCCAGTTCCCTACCCTCATTGAGCTTGATGACATGTGCCTCCCTGTCATTTTGTGTGGATGCCCTTACGAGTTATCGATCCCTAGGCTGCATTCGCCACCCTCAGAGACCATCCCACCTTTTGTTTTGCGACATACTCCTCCTATAACATATGGTTGTCTTGTTGTTGCTTTGTTGCTCTCAGACTGAGGGTACTACCTCTGACATTTCTAGGATTTAGTTGTTCTGCTTTTGTTGTTCTTAGGACTTATACACTAGTCAGCTGTTTCTAGACTGAGGCTACTGCCCCCAACACTCTAGGATCTAGCTGTCATTACTTTTTGCTTTCCTAGGACATGTCCCTACATATATAACTATCGCTAATTTTCGGCCTGTGACATTCAGACGATCGGGGCCCTGCGATTTTACACTCCGCGACGGTCCCGATCGTCCGCTGATCGTTTGCTCTTAGAAGTTGAACCGTCGCAGACTCACACACACACACAAACACACACTCACACACACTCACCCAGGACACAATCTCTACATTTTGAACGTTGGACGCTGAGGCTTGAGCTGTGCAGCGGCAAGGCTTTCGAACGACCGCACCTTGATGACTGACGGTGAGTTTGTTATTCGTGTCTGTTGCTTTCATTTTTTGTGGTCTTGGAACTACGAGAGAGAGAGAGTGCGTAGTGTCCGCGCGTGCGTGTGTGTGTGTGTGCGTGTGTGTGTGTGTGTGTGTGTGTGTGTGTGTGTGTGTGTGTGTGTGTGTGTGTGTGTGTGTG